GAGAGAGAGAGAGAGAGAGAGAGAGAGAGAGAGAGAGAGAGAGAGAGAGAGAGGAGAGCAGGGTCTAGGCAGGTCACGGGAGTGAGGAGGCTCAGAGCACTTTTTTATACGATCATGATCGCGTATCATGCATGTAGCTGGAGATATTTAGTTAGAGCCGTATTACATAACTACGCATGCGCGTTTTCATTCAAAATAAAACGTTTCCGCATCACACGCCACTCTACTCATGATCTTTTGTACTGCCTCATTAAACATGCTACATTCAACATAATCCAGGCTCATGATCATCCGACGTCTAGATAAGCACAAGGTATCCATCTCTCCTGAAGACCTGCACAGCGTATCCATCATGCACGCGTGTAAATAACACACGAACCATCCATCTGCCATGAATATATAGGTGCAGCAGGTACCTATCTCGAATGCAGAGATATGCACAAGATATCCATCTTGCACGCCGATAGGCACAAGGTATCCATCTTCCATGCATATGCATATATACACAAGGTATCCATCATCTTGCGCGGTGATATTCACAATGTATCCATCTTCTGTGCAGATAACCACAATGTATCCATCTTCTGTGCAGATCTCCAGAGTGTATCCATCTTACCAGCATATATGCACCAGGTATCCATATTACATGCAGATACGCACCAGATATCTATCTTGCACTCGGTATCTGCACACAGTAAGCGTCACAGGATCGTTGGCGTCATTCGTAGACGGTAGCTTGTTGCAGTTGGAAGATGCTCGCTACGCGTCTACCTCGAACACGACGAGAGCCGAGGTATCCTTTATAGGAGAGTAATTTCTCACACGCCAGCCGGTGGCTAGTACAACCGTGACCGTTTTTGACGAAAAGTTCCCAAACTTATTGATTCCGCTTCTACAGCCGTGTGCACACACAGATACGCACGCACGCGCGCACGCACGCACACACACGATAGAGCTGTATTATGATGAAACGTACAGCGCACGGTTGACGCAGAAGATTCCATACTCGAATAGGCGTATGTATATGACTATATACACACATACATCCATAATATTACTACTCACTGGGATAACTGCTGAACTAGAGTTTGAGTGACTATATATGCGATCACAAGACACAGACCGGCCCATCTGTGTGTCTATATATATGTATATATATATAAGTTCACTAGCCACACATTTGACACGGAGTTTCTTTGCCATCTTCATTATCCAGCACAGACGCGAAGAATATACTGATGACGTTGGCAAGTGTGCGCATCATTGCTGATATAACTGCTGACACGAGGACTCCTCAATGTCTCTCTACCACCACGTGCCGCCATGGCGTGCGCTAGGACATCACTGTTGTCAGCCCAACACGCCCGCATCCGCGAACACAGGTATTCCGTACCTTTACCCAGCATCCTTGTCTCAATGGACATCACATCCAACACCCTGCAGCTGTGGTGGCAAATACATATTCGCGGTAGTGTCAACCGTGAGTTTGTCTGCGCGACACAGCGTTTTCCTCACAGCATGTCAACGACACCTGGCGGTGGATTGATTTCGTGAGTCACAGCAGGACCGCAACAGATCCCGCGCGCGTATAGAACTCATCCACGGTTCACTCCCGAATCTGTGGTCGTGAGAAGCACGCTGCATCGCTGCCCCGGCGGTGGCGTTAGTTACAGTCACGATCGTGTGCTATGTAGTTAGAGATAGACTTCGCCAGGCGTTCACTCTCGCCCAGTCTGTCGTAGCACGAATTGCTGCGTAGGCCGTGCACTGATGAAATCAATCTATACGGGACAGATAGCTGCCCCCCTTTCCACTGTCGCAAACGCAGTCCATATTCCGCTAGCTACGCAGCCTGCACAAAGCAGTATCTCCGTGACGCAGGCATCCACTCACGCGCGTGTGCGTAAGTACATGTACGTACGCGCGTTTGCACGTGTATCCGCGGCAGGGTTTCTACAGCAGGAGGATGAGACGGGGATACCTCGTGTCAGTCAGTGCTGTGCTGCCGGCGCAGAAGTATATCGGCGAGCAGGTAGGAGACAGGCGAGTGAAGCCAGCTTGTTTGCTCTCATGTTGCTAGCAGGCTTGCTCTCAGGTTGCCGTGCACATGAATATATTACGTGGCACACCCACGTCGGAGTCACAGCGTCTCAGAATTTTATAGCACACCCACGTCGGAGTCACAGTGTCTAATAATTCTTCAGAATTCCTCAGCGCACCCACGTCGGAGTCACAGCGTCTCAGAATCCTTCAGCACGTCCACGTCGGAGACACAGCGTCTCAGAATCCTTCAGCACGTCCACGTCGGAGTCACAGCGTCTCAGAATTCCTCAGCGCACCCACGTCAGAGTCACAGCGTCTCAGAATCCTTCAGCACGTCCACGTCGGAGACACAGCGTCTCAGAATTCCTCAGCGCACCCACGTCGGAGACACAGCGTCTCAGAATTCCTCAGTGCACCCACGTCAGAGACACAGCGTCTCAGAATTCCTCAGCGCACCCACGTCGGAGTCACAGCGTCTCAGAATCCTTCAGCACGCCCACGTCGGAGACACAGCGTCTCAGAATTCCTCAGCGCACCCACGTCAGAGACACAGCGTCTCAGAATTCCTCAGCGCACCCACGTCGGAGACACAGCGTCTCAGAATTCCTCAGCGCACCCACGTCGGAGTCACTGCGTCTCAGAATTCTTCAGCACGCCCGCGTCAGCGATGTCGCAGCACAGCTTCGCTAGCCTCCCCGCGGCACACAGTGCAGGACAGTTGCGAGATCGCCACCATGCACTCGATGTAGATGTAGAGATCTAGATGTAGATACGCATGTCGAGCTAGATGGCGCACTCGCCCTGCGACGTCACGCTCGGGCTGTCCTCGCGGTCGAGATCGACCTGCAGCTCGCCTGTGATCACCGTGCTGATGCTGCTCGTCTCGCTGTGATTGCTCTCGTCCCCGCGTGCGACCCCCGCCGCCGACCCGGCCGTGTCGCGCGCCGCGTGCACGGCGCCGCAGATGCTGTAGGACTCGCGCGGTGGCGGGGGCGGCGGCGGAGGCGGCGGGGGTGGAGGGTGCGGCGCCAGCGCGCGGCCGCCGCTGTTCAGCATGATCATCGCGTCGGCGCACTCCTTGATCTTCTCCTTCTCGGCGTCGTCGACGCTGCCGTCCAGCACGCTGTGGTGACCGTTGGGCAGCGACGGCGTGGCGGCGGTCGGCACCTGCGGGAGAAGCGAGTCACTGCCGGCGTTCGACGCTGCGTCGCTGCCCGCGTCCGCCTCACCGCTCCCACCGCCGTTCGTCTCCTCACTCGTGTTCGTCGTCTTGTCGACGAGGCCGGGTGACGGCGCCTGCGACGCCCCCGCAAGGTCCTCGTGATTCACCTGCACCTTCATCTCCTTCAGGTCTTTCATCTCCTTTCCGTCGGCCGCAGCGGCGGGCGCGGTCACTCCGTTTGTCGGCGCAGCGGCCGCAGCGTCGTCGTCTCCGACCGCGTTGACCGGCAGGTCGTCCGTCTGACACTCGCGGCTGTCGGATTTCGGCCGGCCGTTGGCTGCGGCGGCGGCGGGGTCGCTGCGTGGGCCGCCGCCGATCTCGACCGGCTTACATCGCTCGATCGCTCGCTCCAGCTTGTCGGCCTTCCACTCGAGCCGGTCGATCTTGCGGTCGATGCTCGTGCGGTGCTTGTGCCGGTGGTCGGTCTTGTCGACGCGCTCCGGCCGCCGCTCGCTGATGTCGGTCAGCCAGTTCTTGATCTTGCCGCGGTCGGGACTGCGCTGCTTCGTGCTGCCCTTCTGCTTCGGCCACTCGGGGCTGCGGCGCCGGTCTCCGTTTCCCGACGGCGCGGGCGCGCCATCCGGCGGACTCTTCCGCTTCTCGGGCTTGCACAGCTCGGGGCTCTTCTTCTTCTCGATCGTCTTCAAGGTCTCCGGCAGCTTGATGATGAGCTTCTCGAGCCGCTCGGGCGGCCGCTCGCCCTCGCTGCTCTGCACCACCGCGTAGTCCCCCGGGCTCTTGATCACCTGCCACGTCGGCTTGTCGCTCAACTTTGGCGGCGAGATCTTCAGCTTCTCGATGACGGGCGGCGATGCGACGGCGCCACGCGCCGCGTCGGCCGCCTTCATCACCGACCACTCGCCGGGACGCTTCGACTTCAGCTGCCACGTCGGGCTCTTCGATTTCTCGTGCGGACGCGGGAGAACCGACTCGGGAGGACTCTTCCCGTGCGGACGCGGGAGACCGACTCGGGAGGACTCTTCCCATGCGGACGCGGGAGAACCGACTCGGGAGGACTCTTCCCGTGCGGACGCAGTAGAACCAACTCGGGACTCTTCCCGTGCGGACGCGGGAGAACCGACTCGGGAGGACTCTTCCCGTGCGGACGCGGGAGAACCGACTCGGGAGGACTCTTCCCGTGCGGTCGCAGGAGAACCGACTCGGGACTCTTCCCCTGCGGACGCGGGAGAACCGACTCGGGAGGACTCTTCCCGTGCGGACGCGGGAGAACCGACTCGGGAGGACTCTTCCCATGCGGACGCGGGAGAACTGACTCGGGACTCTTCCCCTGCGTCCGCTGTGGTGTGAACTCGCACACCTTCCCGTGTGGCCACTGCGTTAAATTGGGAGATTTTCCGTGCGCTCTAGGTGGTTCAGCCCCTTTACCATGAGGTCGCAGCGGATCGGGAGCTTTCTCGTGCGCCCTAGGTGGTTCAGCCCCTTTCCCGTAAGGTCGCAGCGGATCGGCAAATTTCCCGAGTGACCGTGGTGGTTTGGGAACTTTCATGTGCAATCGTGGTGACTCTGGAACCTTCCCGTGTGACCATGGTGACTCTGGAACTTTCCCGCACGGCCGTGGTGACTCTGGAACCTTCCCGTGTGACCATGGTGACTCTGGAACCTTCCCGCACAGCCGTGGTGACTCTGTAACCTTCCCGTGCGGCCATGATGACTCTGGAACCTTCCCGTGCGGCCGTGGTCCCTCTGGACCCTTCCCCTGCATCCTTGCTGGGATCAACTCAGGAACTTTCCCGTGTGGATGAACCGAATCAGGGCTCTTCCTGTGCAGCCACGGAGCTAAAAATGCAGGAGCTTTCCCGTGCGACTTCCTGACCGCCTCCTTGCCAGCCCTGACCATGGCCTCCAGGTGGTGATGATGGTGGTGGTAATAGTGGTTCTCCTGCACGTTCGTCGTCGCCGCCATCGTCATCGTCGTCACCACCTCCTGTGTCTTTATCATCGGCCATGGGTGCGGACAGATGGTGCTCTCTGCCGCTGGCTTACCAGCGAGCAAATCCGGCGTTCGCGTCGCCTTCACAGGAGGCTTGAATGCAGAATAAGCGGGCGGGTTCGACGAATGAGCGGGCGGGTGTGACGAATGAGCGGGCGGGTGTGACGAATGAGCGGGCGGGTGTGACGAATGAGCGGACGTCTTTGATGCTGGAGGAGGCGTGGGCGGTGGCGGCAGGGGCGGGGGAGGAGGAGCAGGCTTTGTCTGCTCGGGGGAGGACTTTGTCTTGCTGTCCGGCCTCGCCTTGGCAGGCGGCGGAGATGACGACGATGGCGGCGGCGGTGACGGGGCGCGTTTCTCTGCGGGCGACGTCATTGTCGGCGAGCTTCCCTGGTCGCGCTTCTCGGGAGTCTTGCGCTTCCTTGGCTTGCGCTCCTTCTCGACGGCCTTCCGCTTCACCGCCTTCTCGACATTGCAGTTCTTGTCGGTGTGCGCGCCGCCGCCGGCCTGAGCCGCCGCCACCTCGCTGCCGAACACCGCGTCATAGCGCATCTTGTCCACCTTGTCCCAGATCGAGCGCGACGTGTTTAGAAGCTCCGGCGGCCGCGACAGATCCAACGGCTTCGCCGACGACCGCGGCCGCACGGGGGCGCCGCCGGTCTTTTCGGCCGCCGCCGCGCTGGCGCTCTTTCCCGTCGTGATCGCGTGGACCATCATCGCAGCGATCGGCGGCGGCGGCGAGCGGACTGTAGGGGTCACCACTGACGATGCAGGCTTTGTGGGGGCGGGTGGTGTGGCGACGGCTGGTGCGGCGGCGAGTTGCGCGGTGGCGGGTCGTCCGGCGATGGCGGCCGCGCAGCACGTCACGGCCGCACCCTTCACGGTGCCGCCCTTGCCGCTGGGCAGCCGGTCGACCAGAGGGTCACCAGCCGACTTCTTGGTGACGAGCTGTGACGCGAAGCCACCGTTGACGCCGAAGCCATTCTTGTGAAGGTCGGAAGGATCAGTGCGCGTCGCCGTCGGCACGCCATCGCTGTCTGTCTTCAGACGCTTGCGTGCCGGCTGGTACTCATGCACGCTGAACAACAGCTGCAATGGTCCCCTCTGTAACAACAACACAGCAGCAATCAGTTACATGTGATATAGACCCCCTCCAATGTAACGACACAGCAACAATCAGTTACATGTGATATAGACCCCCTCCAATGTAACGACACAGCAACAATCAGTTACATGTGATATAGACCACCCTCCTCTGTAACAACACAGCAACAATCAGTTACATGTGATATAGACCCCCTCCAATGTAACGACACAGCAACAATCAGTTACATGTGATATAGACCCCCTCCTCTGTAACAATGACACAGCAGCAATCAGTTACATGTGATATAGACCCCCCTCCTCTGTAAGTGTAACAACGACACAGCAGCAATCAGTTACATGTGATATAGACCCCCCTCCTCTGTAACAACGACACAGCAACAATCAGTTACATGTGATATAGACCCCCTCCAATGTAACGACACAGCAACAATCAGTTACATGTGATATAGACCCCCTCCTCTGTAACGACACAGCAACAATCAGTTACATGTGATATAGACCCCCTCCTCTG